AGACCCGTGATTCCAATTGAGGCTCTGGAAGGCCCTCTGCTGACTGGAAGCCTAAGTGCAACCCTTACCATTGGAATGTCGGAAGTGTCAATGGATCACTTATTGGTATTTAATCAAATGATGACATTATGGTTAGAGATTATCCCCCCCTCTAAAAAAGGAGCAAGGGATTAAATTTTTCTCTATAATACTGGTAGGTTAAATACCATTATTTAAATCTTGACAAAAAGTAGAGGCAAAAGCATCCATTTTAAGTTTGTCGATATATTTAACCCCTCCATGCCCCCTGTAATCTGATAACATGGTAAGATGTCCACTGTGTAGTAACCGCTGTCCCTGAAAGGGTTAAAATGAATATTATAAAAGATTAAAAGAATATTGGCTTTCTGTTGGGAGAAATACAATCATTATCTTTTTTACATTGACGCTGGTCCTGGGTTTGACTATTCAAAGGGTGAGCCGTTTTACTTGAGCTTTATTAAACAGTTACGGTTACCTTCTCTTTACATCTATCTCGACGACAGTTGAAAATGGAAATTAAAAGTGTGCATATCGAGCTAAACGTTTTTATGGTGGCAACGGGTGGAGATCTAGCATCATGGCGGAGATTGTAAATTTGAAGTAGACACCGTTTATGCTTTCATTTCACTGAAATATTTTTTTCCCCCAGTGAGTATCTCCTGACTGTAAAAACCCATCCTCCATTTTGGGTGAAAACACATTTTCCTGCCAAGAGTGGCCTCTCCGGATGTTTTTTTTTTAAGCATGAAAGACAAGAATGAATGAACACTAATTATACTCAGCATGAGATGATGCATGTCCTGATTCAACAAGGTCACGCGTCTTCTTTCTTGCCTAAGTGCGACGAAGGCACAATACGAGCATGTCAGCTCGACTTCTACTTTTATCTTCTAAGAGGAGGCACAGTACAGTCTAATCTTATCGTGACAATAAACCTTTTCAACATGACGTCACATGTTCTTGTCACAAATCTCAAGGGATCTCTGAATTCACTACTGGTATTAAAAAGAAATACTTCAGAGCTTTTTGCCCAGTAAAACACGAATAAGTGCACACCAAGAGCCTCTACAGACTTGGAAAGGCTTCGAGGGCCTGGAACGGTAATGTTCCACAATCCATTGGTAGCACAACATGGAAGCATTGCAATGAAAGTGTAAGACGAGATGAGCTTCTAATTCTTATAGCGACTTTCAAGCATGTATACTGAAAAAAAAATGGTGTGTTGAATGTACTCAATTTTATTTGATCTTGATCCAGATATCTTTTTGGGTAGACTTTGCATTTATTTTTTAAAAATGTCTACCAACCACTTGTTGAAATTAAATTTAATTGAACAAAATCTCATCTTTTGATTGATTATATATATATATATATATATATATATATATATATATATATATATATATATATATATATATATATATAAAACTTAAAAAATTAGACAGACACTTTCTACACTGAAAAATGTTTTTATTGAATTTATTCAATTTTATCAAGTGGTTGCATAAAATAAAATAATCTGGATCCAGATACATTTTTTCAGTACACATCTACTTATAATAAATGACTCGGAGACTACACATTTAGTTAAAAATGTATCTAGATCCAGATGATTTTGTTGAACCACTTGACCAAACGGAATAAATTCAACACACTTTTTTTCAGCGTAGAAAGTGTCTGCTTAATTTTTCATTATTTATTTCTTTATTATTTTTAATTTTTCTTTCAAACGACAAGCAGTATCACTTCAACGTTAATTTAATGATTCCTCTAACTCAGTGGTCCCCAAACTTTTTCCTGTGAGGGCCGCATAAGCTTTCGCTTCTGTGATGGGGGGGCCGGGGTCAGTCTGGAACAGAAAAAGGGTGACCGCAAGAGTACGGAAATGTAAAAATGGATTGTTTTCCAGAAACCCACACAAAATGAAGCCGCCTCTTGACAGATGAGACTGACAGACGTTTCTTTGCGCTGAAAGAAACAAAAACAAAAACATCGTTTGTCCACTTTGGTTTAAATACCCCGCATTCTATTTTTCTCTTACCGAACCTTTTCGCCATGATCCCGTTCTCTGAGAGAGGGGCCGGTTTCGGACTCGGGCTGAAAATGTGTTTAAAGCAATAAAAACTCAAAATGAGTGTCACACCTAAACAAAAGGGCTTATGCACACTAATTAATAGTTAATAATGAAAACGGTTCAGAACTAAGGAACATTTTATTGCAAAAGCCCAACTTTATGATCAAAGACAAATCCATATCGATGAAAAATAAATCAAAATACTCTGTGGTATTTTCAGGGGGCCGGACCAAATGCGGAGGCGGGCCGGATGCGGCCCGCGGGCCGTAGTTTGGGGACCGCTGCTCTAACTGCTTTTCAAGGTGAGTACATTCAACAGTGCAAAAAGACAACTAGGTAGCATGGATTGCGTTCCAAACCACCGCAGTGGACATTACTCATGCTTTTAAATGGCATTGGCACTGAGTCATGACTTTACAGGATCACTACTCTGCCAATATTCATGTGTGGGCAATACTTTTGTGATTTTCTTTTTCCATTTTTTCAACATTTTTGCATGAGTGGGCGTCAAAGATTTTACGTTCCAGAAAACTTGTCACTCTGATTTCACGAGAGGACAACCGGTGGCTCTTCCACAGGACATTTAACATGTCACAGAATCTATAAATGGAAGTTTTTTTTATGTTATCTATCCGCATGAAAGCTTTTAAAAACATTACACCATTTAATTGACTTTTGGAGGCTAACTGGCAGCCTGAGATTATTAGACAGCAGATTGCGCAAACTGTCAAAGCACTTTCACCAACGTGTTTAGAAAATGCTTTTTAGGTTCATGAGTCGTAAGTGAGCACATACAAACAAGCATTCACACTCACGTTCACAATTTTAGAGTCTTCATGTGCATTTCAGGGATGAGAGAGGCAATGAAAACCCATTCCAGATTCAAAACTCTCCGGGCTGTGCGACAAACGTGCAAACATCGTGATGCCGAACACAGAGCTAATGAAATATTTTTGCGACAATGTCTTGCAGCGATTATTCTCATTCCTCTCTTGTTGGCCATGTGAGATGGCAAAACATGAGTGTTAGGTTGGAGTGGAGAACAATGGAAATGAGGGAGGAAAACAAAAAAAAGTCAGACTGTAGTGGGAATCTCTCAAGCAAAATACTTCAGCGTCAAACAACAAAATACGTTTTGGAACTGAACAGTTAAAAACAGCTAAAAACCCCTTGATGCCATTTTGCTCAAATAACCTTTATTATCTTCAAGTATTTTGTACATCTCATTTAAACGGTATGTTGTTTTAGTCAGTTGTCCTTTTTCTCTACTTTGAGATGTAGAGATAACACCTTTCCGATCGCGCAAGTGTCTCGGAGCTGTCAAATCTATTGTACAACCCCAACAGACCCACGATGTGTTGTTACAAGTGATGGCCACTAGATGGCAGACGACATCAACATCATAACGTTCTCTGTACTGGTCATTGTAACTGTGGAACCACAAAGAGCAACAAGGAGAAAAGTCTGACTTAAATGGCTGTTAAGTGAAACAACAAGAGTGCCCCAAATAAAATCGTATGTCATTGTGTCATATCTCTCTCTCTCTCTCTCTCTCTCTCTCTCTCTCTCTCTCTCTCTCTTATGTGGAGTGGACTCCCTCCACCTGGCAGCATCACAGATAACAACAATGTCAACTGGGACAATGGATGCATTCAGGAGCGCATAACACACGGATATCTGGCCTTCGCTTTAGATAAAAGCACACCTTGCTGGATTTATGACCCAAAACCTGAAAAAAAGTAGCCTTTTTTTGTGTTGAGGTGGACTGAACCAACTTTATCCAAGCAATCTTGATAGCTGCAGTTAATTGCGTCATTGGACATTGGTATCTTTTTACTTTGTGATAGATGTTTGTACATTGGTGACCTTGCTTTCTGGTTTCCTTGAATTCATTTGGCTGCCTCTGCATATCATTTTGTGTCTCTCTGACTTTAACTTGCTGCATACGGTACCTGTATCTGCCGCCTTTTTCCTCACCTCACATTCACTGTAAGGTAACTCTGTGCCCCTCATGCAAAGTAGTGGTAGAACTGTGCCAATGTTTTATCAAGACAGGGACAGGGCCCACTTTTATCAGGGGCCCAAGTGCGTCACTGGGCCCCGTTTTACCTTTTCAATGTTGAATCCACTTGCCACGTTGCTCCACATGTTTCCAAGCTCCAACACACCAAAAACATGTGCAGTTAATTAACTATGAATTACTTTTGCTTGGTCTGCTTAGTTTAGCCTGTCCCTAGGTATGAGTGTAAGCGTAGATGGTTGTTCGTGTGTGTGTGCCCTGCGATTGGCTGGCAACTGGTTCAGGGTGTCCCCCACCTACTGCCCGAAGACAGCTGGGATAGGCTCCAGCACCCCCCGCGACCCTTGTGAAGATAAAGCGGATCGGAAAATGGATGAATGGATAATAATAATAAAAATAATATAATAGTTATATTTTGTAAGATTTATGTTTGAAGGGTAAGGTTCGAGAGGAATTTGGGGGGGGGGGGAATAGCTATAAATTACAGCGCATGTTAAATCCATATTGCGCAAGTTTTTATAGGCCAAGCTTAAAAACAGAAAATGAAAGTATCGGAAACACCTGATGTGGTCGAAAAAAAGTGAAGACATTTTTTCAATCAGCATAATAATACGTTTAAGGACACAGAATCTATCTCTAATTACAATTTGCTGTTAACTCATATTTTGCTTATTAAGAGTATCTCAGGTTAAAAAAAAAACAATAACGGCAATTGAGGGTGCATTCTAATGAAGACAGTGCATTCTGAGTGGTTATTTTTAGACCCCTTGACTAATGAGTTTGTTTTGGGAAAATAACATTGTGAAGCGTAATTGCTTTGAGGTTTCCAGAGGTCAAAAGTTGAACAAGTCTTGATGAGCTGCAGTAGCTTTAGTGTGCGGCAGGGGGCGCCAGAGATACGGACAGTCAAGTGGGAAGTAGACTCCACCGCTACGCGCACTCACTCTCGCACTCGACTTGGCGGATTGCACTTGTTCTCGTGCTCGTAGTAGCCAACCGCACAGTTGAAGGTTGGAGCAAGGCGCAACCAACGACGAGGCGGAACGTTGCACACACCCACACACACGCGGGGCTGCGGAGCTTGTCGTCGCCGTCAAAGTGTTCGTTCGGCGTCGGCGGGGCCAGCGTGCCATGTCCGCCGTGACATGAGAGGAAGCTTTCTCCTGCACAACTGCACGCGTCGCTCCCGTCCTGGCTTCTTGTGGAGTTACCTGAGCAAACGAGTCGCAGGTGTGTGAGTGTGGTGGACAAGTTTGAAGAGGCTCCCTTGCTTGCTGGATGTGGCGCCATGGAGATGCACTCAAGACTGCGAGCCTTGATGATTATCTGGTGGATTGTTCAAGGTAAGATGAGTAATTAGAAGACGGAGCTTCTCGTCTATTTTGCACGTAAACTGTGGCTGAACCCAAGGTCAAATGATTGCTGTGATCTAAATTGCGCTATTCAAAATCACATTGTTCATACTCCCACGGGGGACTAACTCGGTTTTACTATTCACAATGTAATGCCGCAACTTTCAATGAGTGGAATATAAAAATTCAAATAATTCCAAGTTCACTTTACAAAGGTCCATAACAATGAACAAATTGCTGTTAATCGATTCAAATGTATTAAATTTCCCTGATTGTAAATGACAAACCAACATACACTATAAAACAAATCTGCTTAAAGTGGACTATGAATTTAAAATTTAATGACAAATTTACATCACGAAGTATAATATCATTCACTGAACAGTTAGAAGCTACAAATTCACATGATTATAGAAATTTACATGAAATAATACACTACTACAATTTGATTAGATTTTTATGTTAATCTTAAATTACATAAACAATTTACAATTTTTATATACATAATTTTAATAATTTACATATATATATATATATATATATATATATATATATATATATATGAAACCATTATTTCAAATCAATTTGACAAATTTACAATTCAAATTCATTGCTAATTAGGTGCACAATCAGTTGAATCACAATATAAATGATACATAATACACAAAGATATAATTTGCAATTCAAAAAAATTGTGAATAGAAAAAAAATAAAACATACAATAAAATTTTACCCTAATATCAATGAAGTAATAATAATAAATTCATTGAATATGAATTAAAAACTACAATGAGTCGACAATTCGTTCTGACTCCTGACTCAAGTTCAAGTCAACTTTATTGTCAAATGTGCTCTGTGCAACATACAGCACAGATGAAACATCTTTCCTCTCAACCACAGGAGAGAGAGAGAGGAGCCGCTGCGGGTGCCCGCGCCGCCATCAATAAAACAGTTAACATAAAATGACAAAATAATACAATACAACACAACACATAAGACAGACAGTCACAAACCACTTTTCTGAGTATGCTTTGTTGTTTGAAGCAGTTATAGATGAAATGTCTTTATTTGAAAGGATCAGGCATCAGTCTCCAGCTGGAGTTTATCATTATGTTGTAGGCGACCCTATTTTGGGCCGTGACCCTCAGTTTGGGGAACCTTAATCTAGAAATGATTCCATTGGAAGTTCTTTCAGGATAAATTGTCAAATATCAAAGTTGTTTCAGTCCAAAACCTGGATTTTCTCTTTTTTAACTAGATGATCTAATGCAGGGGTGTCAAACTCATTTCACATGGTGGGCCACATACGGCCTCGGTAGATGTCAAGTGGGCCGGACCATTAAAATGATACCATACTTTGCTATAAATAACCAAAACAATATGTCTTTCCTTTGTGTTGGTATAAAGAAGCACAAGAACATTAGGAAAATGTTGAAATTTAATGAACATATCTTTTACAAAACATTTCATGAAGCACCTTACATTTCCTTTGACAAATGTGCAATTTACTTTACATACATGCATTGCAACTGATCCCACTGATTGTACAAACTTTAACAAGTAATTGGTATTGAAAAATATAGTAATGCACTTTAAGATTAAACGAGATTTATAAAGAAAGGAAGTTTTAAACCATTTACACGTGCATATAAAATCTAAATGTAATCCCTGCCTACACCTTACAAACTAAGGAGAGTGCTATTAAATGTGTAAATGTGAGAATGCTATTGATAGCGTCTGCTGTCATGGGTCTGTCTCAGTGATGGACTGAGGCTGCTGTTGTCTTCTTCTCTGATCAAAACAGTGTCCACTTGCGGATACTCAATGAATTGCACCTTATTAAAAATATTAATTCTGTGTCTTTAATGCATTTTTTTCACTTTTAAATTATCCTGCGGGCCTGATTGAACCTCCTTGCGGGCCGGTTCCGGCCCGCGGGTCGTATGATTGACACCCCTGATCTAATGTATGGTGTGCATGTCTCTTCAAAGGGAGAAATAGTTTCCAGTTTTTGTTAGATGCATCTACTTTCTCTGGCAGTTTAAAGGTGCACTTCCATGTTTTGGAAAGCCAAATGCAGGAACAAGCGTGCTGACAAGTCATAAAATATGTCTTAAAAAAAAAATGTATTGCTCTGTATTCCACTGTGGTTGTGCCGCTTGTGTTTTGAACCGAGGGGAGTCCTGCTTTTAAGCACACAGCAGAGGAGCGCTTCTTCATCTTGAGAGGGCATAATGTTGTCTTGGCACGCTTGAACGCTCCAAAAATGAATTTCCACGATGTCGAACGATGTTGCTTTATCGTCCCCGGTGAGCTCTGGAATGACATAAAAGCAGAGATTTACCTGGGAAAAAAAAGAAGCAGACATGCTCACATGATGACTTATTTATTTATTCAGGGAGGGCACACAGGCGGACAATAATTGCATTGATTTGATCTGATGAGGTCGTACCTTGGTGTTAATCGTGGCTGCTTTAAAAGTTCATATTTAGCAGAGCAACGTGATATTGTGTCACCAAGCGAATGCAAGCGTTTGCACACATTAAATATGATTAATTTCCCCCTCTTTCTCCAAAGCGGCTCATACTGTGTATAATTCAGACGCTTTTCGGAGAAGCCCCGAAGGCTCCTCAAACTTGTGTGAGTCAAGTGAGCACTGCATCATTTTTGCTTTGCACTCTTGTTGAACATTTGGATTTAGTGAAGCGCTATCCGTGGATAGGACAACTGCGTGACATGAGTACACACCGCCTTCACTGGAGATGCGGATAGTCCGGTCCGTCAACGTTGGGACATGGACAATTCTCATCTTTTTGCCTGTATACGCTACCACAAGATGTGCTTTCACTGCAGCCTTTCAGTTTTAATTTGAAGGTGTTTAGATCCATATCAAGTGAACGCTGTAAGACTTACAAGTGTACTGTATGCCTCGCACAAAGTAATGGGGCAAATTAACAATAGTAAAACTATAAATTCATGTTTTAGTACTTTGTAGTCAATTACAGTCTGAAGTCTGGAATGCATATAGGCAGCACCACATGTGATGCTTTGCCAGGCTTCACCCACAACTGTCTTCAGTTTCTACAGCTTTGTTGTCAGCAAGATCAATTGGATTCAGGTCAGGTGATGGACTTGGCCATTGAATGACGTTCCACTTCTTTGCCTTAAAAAAAAATAATAAATAAAATAATAATAATAATTCAGGTCATTGTCCATCTGCACTGTGAAGCGCCATTCAGTGTGTTCTGAAGTATTTGGCTGAATATGATCTCAGAATTCATTGTGCTGCTTTTGTCAGCAGTCACATTATGAAATACAAAGGAACCATTGGCAGCCATGCATGCAAACCTGGCCAGTTGCCCCATTACTTTTGGTCCCTTTGAAAGTTTGAGGCATGCAAACTGTTGGAATTCCTATATCATGTATCTCATTCGGATGTAAGTAACCTCAAATCAAAAACTGAACATCTCCACTTAAAACTCATTTTCGTTGTCTTGTATCAGAACCATTGTGCTGGTTTTTAGAGCCTAAACGATGAGAATTATGCCTCAATATTTCCGGACCTGATTGGGAGTCTCCCAGAATAACAAGAGCTGAACGCAAGCTAATGCTCTGCTTCTTTCACAATCTTTACATGAGTGCCCTGACTAAACTCTCCACCCACAACATTTGGTACACCTGCAGTACAATAAAATGTAGCAAGAAATTACTGTCAAACTCATTTAAGCTCTGTGATATCACCGAGCATTACGTTGGAACATGCAATGGAACAGAATGTTCTAACTTCCTCATGTGAAATACATTAATTCATTCCAAACCTTTATTAAAGGGTGACTTTGCAGTTTTCCAACCGCTCACAAAAACAAACAAACAAACAAACAAACAAACAAACAAACAAACCAAAAAAAACAGACGGACAAAAAATATTGTGGTTTCACGGGATCGCATTATTGCGATTACAGCGTCAATATGTATTATTTTGAAACATAAACAACTTTTTTCGATTGGAGAGCGCGATAGGAACATGTTGAAAACAAGTGAATTTTGTTGAATGAAAGCAAAATGTAGTACAAGTACTTATCGTATTTCCTAGAAAATGATGAGCAACTTGTCTGCTTTTCTCCACTTGTGTGAAGCAATGTCAGAGCTGAAATGAACTGATGTTGGCTATGCTAGCTAGCTAGCTATCTGCCAAGGTAGTGAGTCTATTGTGTTTATTGAACTGAAGTTGGCCATGCTAGTTAGCTAGCTATCTGCCAAGGTAGCGAGTCTATTGTGTTTATGACACCAATGATAGACGCGCTAACTCTCATAGTTGGGTTGTATTTCAAGATAGCATTCGGGTAATACAGTATATTAACGCTACCTTGAATTTGTTGATGAGTGATGTTTGGCACTGTGTAAGGGACGACTCTTTGAAAGCACGTTTTTGTGAGTGTAGCTTTCCTCGACCAAGCCGCTGTACCTGAAACATTCTAAACAATTCATTTAACAAAACGTTCATTGCTACAGTTGTATTTGCAATGGTACATTTAAACAATTATGAAGTGAACTTCTGGATATCATGCAGATACTCCTAAAAATCCCTCGTTTGTCGCCAATGCTTGAAGCAGAGAATGAAGAAAAGCTGTGCAATCTCGGCAAACCCCCAGCTCTGATGATGGAAAGCAGCTTTCACGTTACATGATGCATTTCGTTTTCACACTCAAGAAGCTGATCCTGCTCGACAGCAACTTTACGAATCCAAAATACTGACACCCGTAGCTAATTAGCCTACAAAATAAATCTTGTAATACTCTGCCGTCGTCATGGTCCCACTGATGAACTCGAAACGGGGTGCAGAGATTTTTTTTTTTTAGATGTTTTACAACCATTAACACCTTTGATTATGGCCGTCTATATGCCAGCTATGTCACATGACTGATAGCTCAAAGTGGGGCAAGGACGGTGACAAGGTGACTCTCGCCTCCAGTCTGAATGTAGCGTTAGCT